GGAGTGACGTGGCCATGAGAAATGTGTTGCCTCTAAGCAGCTGACAACAATGAGGAAATGGATTCTCCTGTAGAGTCCGGAAAGACCACAGCAGTGCTGACACCTTGATTTGAGCCTAGTATCCCCTCTTTCTTCTGACCTACAGAACTGTAAGAGGATAAATTCGTGTTTTAAGGCACGAAGTTTGTGGTAATTTGTTATAGCAGCAATGGGAAACAAATACAGGAAGGGTTGTATCATCATCAGAAATACAGCTTTCAGAAGAAAGATGGTTGGGGAAAGCAGAGGGTGCGGTGGCAAGGTGATGGATTCTGTTTGGGACATTCTGGGTATCGTATGCATATTATTGGGGAACTGTCCATCAAAAGCTGGAGTTTCAAAGAGAAAAAAAGAAGGAACAACAATATTTTGAAAGGGAGAGAAGTAGGTAATATTCAATGTGTTTTGAGTATACCTAAAAGGTTTTTGGTTCTTTCACCAAGTTATTCAATTTTTGCGGCATCCAGGGGTGTTTTTCTTTTTTCTCAAACCAAATTTTCTCAGTTAAGTGTCCCATGTAAAGGACCAGGGGTTAAGAGATGTGACTAAGACTAGATGGAATGGTTTTCATCATTACATGGTACTACGGTTCTACTGAAGCACTGAGGAAGGAAGTCTAGAGAGTTCCTGGGAAGTGTCTGGAGTCTTCTCAGTAACACGCAAAGTGAGGCAGAGGTACTGTCAGGGTTAGAAGGTTAGAGGTAAATAAAGTTCAGGGCAATGGTACTTGGAGAGGAGTGAATCTTTGATAACTTGGAGGAGATGCTTCTCAGAGGAAAATTTCTTCACAGCATGAAGTCACCAGCTCTAAGACCAGTGGGTGTTCTGGGGGATGTTAGCAGTGACTCACTGTCTGTTGGTCCAGTGGAGGGAGGGATGAAAGGCCATGTAGTGGGTAGAGTATCTGACTCCTCCTGCCCCCACAGTATCTATTCCTGGCCCTTCTCACAGTGGGGGCAAAAGGTATGCAAAGGGATTTCCGCAGTATCTGGGTGCTCCCAGGAGACAGAAAAGTAACTGATGACTTGGAGTTGGAGTCTTGTTGATTCAAGTAGCTGGGGTGTTTGGGATTTCGACACCTCCCTTTATTTTACATGTATGGTGCTGAGCGAGGAGTCAAAAGGCTTTGGTCTTGGTCTACCCCAGTGGCCCACAAGCCTGGGTAGATGGCTAACATTTACTGTGCACTTAGCATGTGCCAAAGAGCTTTATGAAACAGGTTCTTTTTGATTCCCACTATACTGATGAAGAAACAGAAGGCCAGAAAGCCCCAGTAACTTGGCCAAGGTCATGTAGCTAGTAAGTGGTCCAGCTGAAATTTAAAACCAGGTTTATTCAATTCCAAATCCACATCTGATTTATTTTGCCATGAATTAAACATAGTTCTGATTTTGAGAAACTCCCAGTCCTAGTGGGAAATCAGATGGAATCACAAATTACCAAAACACAGTGTAGAAATGTAAAAATAAAAACAAAGAAGTGAGAACCCTGCAAGGAAGCTGTAACACCAATTGAGAATGCACGGAGGAAAGTTTTCAGAGGAGGTGGCCTTGCAGCTGGGCTCAGGGGTGGATGAGTTCCTGGCTAGAAGTGCATGGTGGGTAGAGGGAGAACATAGAGAAAGGCATGAAGATGGTAAACATGTTTGGAAAGAGTGAGTACTAGGCTGATGAACACGATGAGTCAGGAGCTTATGACGTCAAGGGCTGCTGCTGGCACAGTTGATGACTGAAGTTTCTGTGAACCCTAACATTTCCAGCAGAATACTAGGACCATGCTGCGTGTATATCATCTCTCATGACAACACAAATGTTTGGGCTTACTTGTCATCC